TCGGTTAAACATTTCAAACTCGAAACGACGAAAAAACAGCAAAAACACCCAAGAGGAATTCAAAAAGAGGGGAAAGTCATATTTTGTGGAATGATTATCATACTCCAATTAAATGCAAATCAATGCCAGATGCTCATACTAAAAGAAATATTGTTAAAGAGAGCAAACTCTGTTGGAAGTGTTTTTCGACAATCATAATAGCTTTGATTGCTCCTGGGCAAACTGTTCTCTTTATGGAAGAGCACGCAATAAAAGTCTATGTTTCAGGAGCAGAAATTCCACGAAGTAGAGGAAGCAATTGACCTCCTAATACCAAGCAGCCGCAAAACACATAATATGACGCAAACAGATTGGCAAATTCATTTCAACAATCACGAAAAGGGGCAGACAGTTGGACAAACATCCATATCACTAATCCGCCACTAAAAACCCGAGGAGTACCGTCAGAAATGAAATTGCGCAACTAAAGAGCAAATCGTGACTTTGACTGCAGGAAGAGATATTTGGAATATTAACAATCAAAAGTATAAGGAAATACTCTTGTTTCTTCGACAGAAGAGCACAAAAAACGCTTAAAGAAGAAACAGCAACAGCATTTGGACCGCCACGCAAAAGTGCTGAATTATGCAACATGCCGGGAATAGTCGGCCATATTAAGAAACTCATGAACGACTACGTCAAATAAACACCCTATCATCCTTTGGAGAAGAGGTTAACTTTGATATCCAAACTAAACCGATAATTTAACAAGTGAGGATAAACATTTCTTTAATACAAGAGTGCTAAAGAAATCAAATCCGCATCACTCCGAGCCTACCGTACCCCTCACCTTCCGTTGAAATGGGGCAGGTACGGGGGTGACTGTAATGTTGAACTGGAATAAAGCGTTGTTTTGTGAGTTATGTCTACCACGGCAACACCTGCCACTGTTGGTATATCATATTTGCTGTTAGGTCTACTAGCGCTGATTTGCATTAAGGCCGACATATGTCTCAGGCTACATATTAAAAGGGGAAAGATCAACTGTATTAAAACAACAATCAACAATTCAAGTTTTTAGATAGAGAGCACGATCGGCACAGATCAGCGGATCATTATCATCGCTTCTAACCTAGAGAGCAGCCAGACGGGAGGGCGAATATAAGGGGCTGCTTTGCAGCTCAAGTAGTTTTGCGTCGTGAGGAATCCGGAGAACTTCAGGATAATCAAGGAGTCTTTGTAAAAGGATAGAGATGTCTGGAAGTCACCCTATCCTCTAACAAAGAGTTAACAGTTCACGATAACGAAGGCAGTTATCGATTTGCAACTGTAGATGAAAGCCGAGGGTCAACATCGCACCTTCGTGCAGCGCCACTAAGAAGCTCGCCTCCAACGCCAGCGCCCAGTTAACCACCCACCTCAAATTCTGAATTCGTGTTATTCTAACCATTTGTAATCCTAGTGCGCTTCCTGTTCTACAGTCCGGTCCACACGTAAGTACGGGCGACTTCTGAGTATCATATAACTCAGAATATAACTAGACTGATATCTGGCACGCTCTACGGCCATCCATATTGATCGGCGAGTGGCGCGACTTTCGGTTGTCATTAAGGGCACATCTGCATTGGGCTCTATATTCTGCAGTTTCTGTACTGTAACTGTGTATTGACAGTAAGGATTAGACAAGCTGTCTACTTCGTTTTATTACTATAAAGGGATTTCTCTAAGGATTCAGAGACGCTAGTCAGGAAATTTTGAAGAAATGTGTTGGGGAAGTGTTTATAGCTTCAACAAAATTTAATCACAAGCTCTCATACGATCCATAAGCTTATTTAGCCGATATGTTATTAGGATTCCTTTCTCGTTTCTTTGAGAAGCTCAAGGCTTTTGAAAATAGTTCACTGTTGGCCTGTATACATAATGACGGCCAGGAAAAATCGCGCCACTCGACCGCCTTCCAGGTTACCGGACTTGTTTTTACGGTGCAGGAGTGTACTTTTGCCTCCAAAGCGTATCCTATGCAGATATCTTTTCGTTCACAATATATAATATTATTCTGCAACGTTTAAC